CCGTACTCGAAGGTGCGCGCGTGGTGCAGGACTAGGTTCTTCAGGGTACGAGACCGGGTTTTTCGTGGTGCGGCGTCTAGGTGAGATAGGATCTTGGGAACCAGCCGTCTTGGTAGAGCGGTATTGGGGGGGCGCCGAGCTGGCTACCCTCCCCCCCTGTGGTTTCCGGAGGCTTGATCGCCCTGCGTTGCCGCAGGGTCTTCCCGTTTGAGTACTTTTCAATTTAGACCCAGTGCTGTGGAAGGGCGCGGACTTGTGCGGTGTTACCCCCTCGACGGGGGCTATCTCCCCTGGACTAGCCCAGGGAGGGAGAGGCGGAGGAGGGTAGTAGTCTCAGGAGGCTGTTTGGCGTCTTTTGGTGTGAGCTCTTTGCGCTCTTTTTTGCGTGAGGATTTTTGAGCTTGGTGACCTCCCCAGCCCGGGAAGACTCGTCGGGCTCCCGGTCGCCCAAGTCCTGGTAGCGAGCTCTCTGAGATGCTCGGTTCGTTCGGTCGGCAGGAAGAGCCCCCCAGTTGCGACTTCGTTTATGTTAGGAGACCAACGGGCATAGATCCCGTCTAGTTGGAGCGCCAAACAAGCGCTGTTGCGTGCCGGCCGTCGTTTCCCGTGCGGCCTGACCCGGGGGCGGAGTGCATGAGACTAACCAGCCGTATGCACCCGCCCCCCGCGCTGTGCTTCGGCCCTGGGCCCCCGCCTTTTCAGCCCACAGTGTAATCAACGTCATACATACATACATACATACATACATACATACATACATACATACATACATACATACATACATACATACATACATACATACATACATACATACATACATACATACATACATACATACATACATACATACATACATACATACATACATACATACATACATACATACATACTTCTTCCCTAGTGCCGCTCCGAGGTTGTAGGGTGCTGGAGAGCCGGGGGGAGGTGGGGTCGCTCGGACAGGGGAGGGGGGAGATGGCGGTGAGAGCGCCAAAAGGACGTAGGTTTTCTGGTGTGTGGGAGGTTGAGGTCTGGTGGTGGTAGCGGGGCTCGGATGAGGGGGAGATGTGGCCCGAGGAGGGCCATTCTATTTAGACAGGTCTTCTCTGTGGGACTGGGTTGTTTGGTGAGGGACGAAGGTGAGAGCGGTGCAGTACGAGACAGGGTGAAAAGGTTTCTGGAGGACCAACCGTTCAGGTTCGTGGCGGTAAGGGGGAGGCGCCGCGCGGGCTACAATCCTCCCCCTGCGGTTTTCTGGAGGGTCTAGGAGCTGTGTGTCGTGGCAACGCTAACGCTTTTGTGGTTTCGCCGGACTATCCCGGGTCCCTGCAGTGGTGATCAGGCTTGTGCGTGGTCCCTTTTCTTTATAAGGCTACTTCTCCCCTGGACCAGCCCAGGAAGGGACAGGTGGTGGAGGTCAGTTGTTTTAAGGTGGTTGCAAGACGTCTTGTGGTGTCGAGCTCTCTTAGCCTTTCTCTCTTGGAGGTTTTTGTTTGGCCTGTTAGGTATATCAGGAGCCCTCCCCTGCCGGGACTGCCCTGACCGAATTCTTGTTTGTTTGTTTTCCTCCCTTAGGATCCCGTTTTCGTTGGTGGTGTTTTGGGGGGTTGTTTCAGAGAGCCTTTGACTTTGCCCTAGCTGAGACTTGTGGACTCGCTCTAGCGGGACCTGAGAGCCCTTCGTGGTGTTTTCACCGCAGCGCCATCCCCGGATGGAGGGGCAGCGGAATGGCTGCGTAGAGTGTTAGCAGTCTGAGTGGGGGTCGGGAGCACACAAGACTAACCGACTTGGGCTGTGTGCTCCCGACCCTTGCGCTGTGTTTCGGCTTCGGCCCCCGGCTCTCGCAGCCCACAGTGTAATCTAAGTCATACATACATACATACATACATACATACATACATACACATCCACGCCCATGGCTCACCCCCGGGTCGAAACACGGAGGCATTCCACATAGCAGCACGCGCCAACATCGCTGCAGCGCAGCCCGTCTCCTGCCGTACGCGCTGTGCGTCGCTGTACGACATGATGTCTCCGTTGGCAATGACCGGCACTCTTGTACTCTCCAGCGCATCCACAACCTGGTTGACCATCAGCCATTGCGGGGGGGGGGGGGAAAGACGAACCACACGCGATTTAAGCTGCTGCCAGGGTAAGAAAGTAGCAACCGAAAGAACTGACCGAAAGGCGTCCGTGGCGACTGTGACGACTGTAACCTCGGGCTGACGACTGTAACCTCGGGATGAAGATATGACGTAGAAGTAGGAAGTCCTACCTACCTAAGCTGCCAGAAATAATATAGCCAAACCGTAAACTAGTAGGTGTAGAAAAAGTAGGTGTAGAAAAAGTAGTAGGTGTAGAAAAAGTAGTGAAGGCGGCGAGAAAAAAATTTTTGACGTAGAAGTTGCGTAAAGTTGCTGACAAGGAGAGAAAGCTGCATTGCTGATACTGAAGGGCTGCCAGTATGCAAGTGTTCCTCCCAACCCCCCAAAAAAACTAGAACGCGCGACTGACCCGACCGACCCAAACTAAACTATTCCGGCTAGCCTACCGACGCCAACGCGAACTACCAAAGAAGCTCGAACCACCTAATTGGACTCACCTGGCCAGGCAGCAGGAGCAGCGGGCAAAGGCACATGCGAGGCAGAGAGGTGGCAAAATCGTGAGCAGCGAACGAAAAAAACAAAAACTCATGCAGATGCTGCTGAAAAGGCGTATAAAACTTGCTGACCGGGGAAGCTGGAATGAGAAAGCCTAAAGAAACTATAAGAAAAGTCAGGAAGTAATAAAGAATTGCAAAGGCGGCGTAGGACGACACAGGTGGTGTCGTACGAGATGACCTAGTGACGCATTGGACGGGATGACGCATGGGACGGGATGACGCGTTGGACGGCGTATACGCCGGCAGAACAGGGTGAAGGCAAAACAGGGTGAAAGCAAAAAGCAAAAAGGGGAGTAAATAAGAAACAAAAACAAAAAACAAAAAACAAAAACAAAAAACAAAAACAAAGAAACAGTGCGTGGGTCGGGGCCACATATGGCTCCCGCCAAACCGTGCGCACCAGGAGCATTTGCATGCAGCTCCGTGGTGCCTAAAAAAGAAAAAGAGTAAGCGTAAGAGGGGCAGTGAGAGAAGAAGAATAAAAACTAAGGGCATGGTAGAGGGGAAGGAGAAGAAGGAAGTAGGGTATGAAGCAGGTGCAGGATGTGAGCTAGGATATCGAAGCCATTACGGCGTTGAACTAAGAAGAGTTGTGGCCAGTAAAAGAGTTGTTGAGCACATTGTATCTCAAGGCGTCGTCGCGGGTAGCCTTGAGCAATGAGTTGTGCCATGAGGTGTGCTACGGAAGACGCAAAATTGTGAGCGTCCGTGATAATGCGTTGTAGTCTACGAAATTGGCTGATGAAAATATTTCGTTTTGCTGCTTCATTAACGGACGAGGAAGAATGCACAAAGCGCGAAAGGCGAATATCTGAAAAAGCTGATTGCTGTAGCTTATCGTAAAGATGTGTATCATACCAACTACAGCCGTTACGAATGGAATGGACTAAGAGGATATCTAAGAAAGGGGTTTTATTAAGGGGGTGTTGCTGAACTGGGATTTCAAGTTGATGGGGATAAATTCCTCGCAAAGAGTTAGTTCCCACTGATACGGGTAGGTGAAAAAGGAAGGAAGAAAGATGTGGGTTACCCAGGGAGAGGAGGTCATCGAGGTACCGTTTAGTGTACTGAAAAGATTTAAGTATAATTTTATTAAGGGAAGAGGTAGTAGAAGAGTAAAATTGCTGTAAGAACTTATATTCATGCCAAGCAAGGAAGAGATTAGCAATATACGGGGCTGGGGATATCCCCATGGGGATACCGCAGATTTGTTGCACGAGGTGCGGGCCAAAGCGAATGAAAGTAGCAGAGAAAAGCGCAGTAAGGAGGGTAACCAGGTCGTGAACCGAGAAGTATACGGTCTGGGAACCATCGGCGTAAGAAGAGTAACGGAGTGCAGGGGTAGGACCTTCACAATATTCGGCGGTGAAGGAAGGGAGGGCGGCACCAGGTTTGGGAGGAGACATGCGGACGAACAAGCACGTGACGTTAGCGAAGAGAAAGCAATGGTGGATAAGCTCATCCAGGACAGTACGGAGGAGGTGGTGTGGCAGATTAGTATACAAGCGGGTAAAGTCATGAGCCTGAGCTGGATGGAAGTCGGGGTGTAAAGGATGAACGTTAGCAGAAGCAGAAGAAGGATCATGTGAGGGGGAGATGGGTTGTGCGAAGTTGGCAAAGACGGGAAGTTGTGCTGCATTGTAACGGTGCACCATGGTGATGACCTCAGCTGAATTTTCACAAAACCATAAGGGGAAATCTGGTAAACGGGCTTTCCAGAGTTTCCGGAAAGTGTCCGTAAGGAGTTGGAGAACGGCGGTGGTAAGGAGGGCGAGATGTGTAGAAGGGCAGGACTGGGAGCAAGCCAGAAAACGCATGGTAGGTGGATTTTTGTGCATTTTAAGGGTACCTGCATAATATGCGTCTGGCAAGGAAGATTGAAAGGAAAGACCAAGGTGAGCCAGGGATTGTGACAGACGTACCAGAGAGGTATCGCGATCCGGAGGAGATACCGGTTGGTAGTAAAGGGGATGGTCGAGGAGGTCATGTAAGCAAGATTGCACGTAAAACTTAAGGCAAACGAGTTGGAGAGTAGAGGCACTTTTGTCTGTAACCGTGACGACACAACCTCGGATAGCAGAACGGAAGGCAAAAAGGTCGCGGTCTTGAAGAACGGGCCAAGAAAAATGGGTGGGTGAAGGGTGGGTCGTAATGTAGTTGCGGGGGAGAGTATAAAGGCATTGGGTCCAGGAGGAAAACGTGCCGTGTGGGAGGCCGCGATGACGTTCTTGGTGGTTGGCATGTTTTTCGATATTAGCAAAAGTATCCGCCAAAAGGTCCGGTAGGGAAGGAAGTGGTCGATGACAACGGTACCGTGCACCGGCATTCCAGAAGAAATGGAGAGAGTTTGGAATGAGGTAGTAGGGTGATGTGGACATGATGTGTCCTGTCTGTGAATGTACAGAAGTCGTGCAAGAAGCGGAACAGCGGCAGGGGGAGTTAAGAATAGAAGTAAGATCGGAGTGAGAGAGGGTGCGGGCAATGTGAGGGTAGTTACAGAGTAATTGGTGGACAGTAGCAGACTTGATCCAATGTATAGGGGGTGTGTGCAGCAATCCGGGGGGTAGAGTGCTTTGCAAGGGTGCGGATCCGCGGGGGGGGGGCGTGTGCTGTGTTCCGCGTATGTATGTGTACCTGTACACCTTGTTTAAGAAGGCAGGACACGATATGGCCAATACATGAACGAAAGGGGGAAGACCGTACGACGTGTTCGTCCTCCTCGGCAGCCCCTCAGCAGCGGGGGGGGGTGCGGGTCCCCGACCGCACCGCACCACACCGGGGCGCCGGTTGGGAGCCCGGGCCTCTTGGCCGACGATGATGGTGGTGATGGTGGTGATGACCCCCCCGTCCCCCCCCCCCTCCGCACCTGTACTGATACACACATGCAAACACACGCACACATGCCCTACCCTCTTCCGTCACCCCCTACCAGTCGTATGTGGGCCCAGTTGGCGGGGTCGCGGGGTCGCTGCTGAGTGGTACGGCCGTGTACGGCAATGGCCGACACCCCACACGCCCCCAGCCGCCTAGCCAGCTCCACGGTGTCACGTGGGTCATCTGAAAGGGGGGACCGTGTGTGTGTGTGTTGGGGGGGGCCGTGTGAGTGTCTGGACAACGGGGGCAATAACAACCGTCCCACGGGACACCGGCGGTTGGTCGTTATCGTTTAGGGGTCCGGTTGCCCCTTCTTATCCTAGCAGTCCACACTACCTAGCAGCCGTATCTTGCAGCTGAAGGGCACATGGAGGTTGCGGCGGA